ACAAGATGGATCATGTGCAACACAGACCTTTCCGTCTCTGCCGTTAGCACATGAAGCAAGGGCGGGCTGTGCATGCGAGTGGATGGCTTGGTGGTGGCTGGCCTGGCACTCCTGGGTCAGCCCGGACACCCGAATCCGGAACGCGCGCCGCTCTTCAACAGTCTCGTGCTTCGCAGAAATCGGCGGGCGGCAGCTGTCCCTGTCAACTTACAGGACAGTGGGTGTGAGTTTGAGCTTGAGCTTGCCTCGCTCGGGCGAGTATGACGGTGGCAAGGCTCGGACCTCAGCGTGCTGATGTTCTTCTGCAGCTGAAGGTGCCGCGACTCCCTCAGACGGTCACGAGTACGTCCAACACAGTATGTGGTGCCGCCGCCAGTGCTCGTGGCCAGCTCCAGATGCCTGTGCCTGGAGGTACGCAGCGACACCCGTCTCAGTAACCCACTCGCGGATGGCGGCCATTCGTGCCCGCCTGGTACGGTCTTTTGAGTTCTGGGTACCGACATCAGCGCAGGTTCATACTGGGACCTTCCGCTGGGGACGACGATTCCTCCTCGCCGTAACATGTGTTCCAGGCATCGCGTTGCTGCAGGCTCGAGGCTTTAAAGTTCCGAGACGCTCTAAACACATGCTGAATGACGTTTGATCACACAACTAGTTAAACTCGACTTGGGCTGGCGCGAGCCAAGCCGTATTGCATAAGTTCGTCAACCGTGCCCTGTGCGCCCATATTTTGCGGTCAGACTGGCGCCCTACGCCCCCTCCGGAGCTTGCGGTCATATCCATGAATCGTGCTTGTCATGTGTGGGCCACCAGGCGGATCTGGCAGCGTGGCAGGAAGAACGCGTGTTGAACGATGCAGAGCTAGGATTCACATCGCTCTCAATTTGATATGAAAACATGTTGTGACACCATGAAGATTGGTCGCAGGGACAGGCAGAGCACGGGCGCAGGCAGCAGGTGAGACTGGCAGGTCGCGGCCGACGCCTTCGGTTTGATCGTCATTGGATATTTGGGGCCGATCAGACACTGTTGCGCACGTGGAAAGGGGCATTTCCCGCAAGACGCCTTCATGGCTCATGGCGACTCGACACCAGGAAATTACGATGAGGACCAAGGGGAGAGGAGCTACAGGGTACCACTCTTTCTGGCCGGTCTCCTCTCGCAAACCGGGGGATCTGGTTGTTCGTAAAGGCCTACCTCTTGTTTGCAGATGCGAGCGTGAAGCTTCATGGAGGGGCATGGGGACCAAGTTTGTTACTGTGAGTTAGAGGCTGCAGGAGGGGAGCCGGTGGGTCTGGCTACTTTCCAGGCGAGCCTAACAGGCGATTTGTGCAAGTTGAGTGGCCTTCCACTCAGCACGCAGAGACGAGATGGAGCCAGCATGATGGAGCCCATGATGCACTACATCAGCGGCAAGGGATTGATGGGCATCATCTGACCTGCAACCTCTTTCTTATGCCTCGACTGATTGTCACGGACTCACGGCTCTCCAGCAGTCTCCATGCGTTGCCCTGGTTCTCGCCTGCTCCCTCCCCAGCTCACCCAGATTCGGCTCTCGTTCTCACTGGCTCCTGATTCTTCGTCGTGTCTCGAGATGCGGCACCTGGATGCCCGGCGCGGCCGTCGAGGTGTACAGAAGAGGGCGCTCACAGTCGGCGACCGGGTGTGCAAATGACCTGCTGCAGCAAAAGACCTCATCTGCCACAGCTTGTGTGCGCAGAGGAAGACTTGTAAATAATGATAGGGCACGTCTGGATGTTGAGGTGCAGGTCACTGTCACTTATGCCTGCCCTGTACCATCAATCCACGCCCCTCGGCTGATTTCTGCCCCTTTGGGTGTCTACGGCGCAGCGCCTGCATAGGCACCTTAAGTTAGATGCGCTAAGCTTCCCATAGCAATAATCCAGACGGCTACGGCGACCTCAGTCGCAAACCACAGGTGACTTGAGCCTAACCATTATTATCCGCGTTATTACTGGCGCCGCTGCGCTGCACTTTCCTCTCTCCCCAAAACCTCCATCTCAGAGTGAGCCCAAAGTGAATCGTCAGGGCGGGAAAATTACCAAGCCTTCAAAACCTCAATCTCAACCACTCTTCATCTTTGTTTCCTCTTTCCTGCCTCACCTACTCCTCGAACTCGCCGTCTGAATCCTATCGTCCTCCAGAAACACGACTTCTCATCCTTACCTCAACTGCCCCTTCTTCTACCCTCTGATTATCCTACGGTTTCCTTCCCGTCTCGGCTCGCTGATCTACTGGCAACTCCAGAACCCCGGTTTCATCATAGGCGCGAGAGTCCACACCTCATTTCGAAAGCCTCACCTGCGCAAAGTGGGGAAATTAGCGCTTCATCCGCCAACCCAACCCAACCTTCCTGCTCCTCACCTGTAACTGCATACCCGTCCTTCGTCCTCGTCGTCCTCGACCATCTCTGCCTCTCGAGTCTTGCCATCGTCCACCTCCGTGGACGTTGCCATCTTGACACACTCCCACTGAAGGTGTTCGCCGTCGTTCCTTGCTTGCACACCCTCCTTCTCTGCCGCTCCCTTACATCTTCCCCGGGACAGTTTTAGCTGTCTTCTGCTCACCACACCGTCGCCAAAGTGGATCCCAAACATCCTTAGCAATCGACGATGTCGCAAAATAGGCCTGGCGGAGTTTTCTCTGGCTTGCGCATGGGTGGTATGTTCTCACCAGCCTCTGACCGAACCATGAGACAACCAGTCTTCTTCGAGCACGTGCGCTGACAGAGGCTTGCAGAGGTGGTGCGCGAGAAGGTGCAGGATGGCCTCACTGGAGAGACAAGAGAGATGCAATACACTCAGTGCAAGATTGTCGGCAATGGCTCCTTCGGCGTCGTTTTCCAGACAAAGCTGTCGCCTAGCGGAGAGGACGCCGCAATCAAGCGTGTTCTCCAGGACAAGCGATTCAAGGTATACACCCTGTACACGTTTCATTCTCGTCGTTCACAAGACACTGACTGTCTTCAGAATCGTGAGTTGCAGATCATGCGCATTGTCCGGCACCCCAATATCGTCGAGTTGAAGGCTTTCTATTACTCCAACGGCGAGCGGGTAAGAACCGTCACGGCGGTCGACAATACTGTCGCACCCCATCCACAAATGTGCGATGCTAACTGTGTCTACCCTTTAGAAGGATGAAGTCTACCTCAACCTCGTGCTCGAGTATGTCCCGGAGACAGTTTATCGGGCCTCTCGATACTTCAACAAGATGAAGACGACCATGCCTATCCTCGAAGTCAAGCTCTACATCTACCAGCTGTTCCGGTCGCTGGCCTACATTCACTCGCAAGGGATCTGTCATCGAGACATCAAGCCACAGAACCTGCTGCTCGACCCGGCGACCGGGGTTCTCAAGCTGTGCGACTTTGGAAGTGCAAAGATCCTGGTTGAGAATGAGCCAAATGTCTCTTACATCTGCTCCCGATACTACCGCGCCCCGGAATTGATCTTTGGTGCTACAAACTACACCACCAAGATTGGTATGGACACATTCTAATGCTCTGGGAATATGCTGGATCCAGGCGCTAACACGGGACAGATGTCTGGTCAACTGGCTGTGTCATGGCCGAGTTGATGTTAGGTCAACCTCTCTTCCCTGGAGAGTCGGGCATTGATCAGCTTGTCGAGATCATCAAAGTGCTCGGTACGCCGACCAGAGATCAAATCCGAACGATGAATCCGAACTACATGGAGCACAAATTCCCCCAGATCAAACCCCACCCGTTCAACAAGGTGTTCAGAAAAGCGTCCCCAGACGCGATTGAGCTGATTTCGGCCCTGTTGGAATACACTCCGACTCAGCGGCTGTCTGCAATTGACGCAATGTGCCAGCCCTTCTTTGATGAGTTGAGAGATCCCAACACTCGCCTTCCTGACTCGCGCCATGCTGGTGGTGCTTCTCGTGAGCTCCCAGCTCTCTTCGACTTCTCTAGACATGGTTCGTACAGGCGTGATCCTGTGTCCTGATTACGTAAGGGCTAACGAGATGAGTAGAGCTTTCGATTGCGACTCACCTCAACAACAAGCTTGTTCCGCCCCACGCACGACCGCTACTCGCTGCGCGAGGACTTGACCTGGACAACTTCACACCCCTTACGAAGGACGAGATGATGGCACGGCTTGATTGATTCAAGGCAATGCCGGAACTGTAACGAAGTGACGCCGCGAGGGATTTTGTGCGTTGATATGTCCATCACTGCATGCATGTGGCTTTGGGGTCAACGCAACATGCGAGGAGAAATTCCTACAGCTACATCCCAATCATCATATGTCTAGATGGATTAGCATGGGCACAGAGGTATCTGTCACGAAAAGCGACAGGTTTTGCATGCAGGTCAGCAAAGCGGGCTCGGCGGGAGGTTTGGTGCCTGATGACCACAAAACGAGGACTGATGATGGAGCGGAGCGGTTCACAAAAAATCGACCTTGAATGGTCTGGAAGGGAAAATGGTGCTTCGCCGTCAGGCCCGTCATTTCATGTCCGAGCTACTGCGCTACGAGCTGCAATGGGTGGATGGAATGAGCTTGGAGGCTCAGATGACTTGGGAAACTGGCATTTGTGCTCAGAATATGCAACAGACAGCGTGCAAGCTGTGCGTACATTGCTACTGCCTGCCGCTCCAGAGACACGGGGCAGCACCTTTAGACGGTCGGACCACAGGAACCCGTGGGCGTGATGTGGTCCTCATCTTGCGCTCAATTTGCTTTCACAGAGACGACAGGATAGACTTGTAACTCTCCTTACCACGTGCGATGGTTCCAGATCAACTCAGTCGCCGGTGACGCCCTCGACGCATTAGTGGAATCATGCGGAGGAAAGATGCCAAGGCTGGTGATTCGCGACTGACAGGTTTCTAAGTCACTTCTCCAAACGCGTTGCCGTAGACGGACTTCCATGCGCCAATTGTCCTGTCCTGCGCCTTTAACCCTGACCGATCCTTGACCCGCCCACTGATCTTGCGTGCTCGTGTCTTGACCATGGCTGACTACGATCGTCGTCGACGAGGCGGAGGGGGAGGTGGTGGTGGTGGCGGCGGCGGCAGTCACTTCAACAATCGCAAGAGAAGATATCGAAGTAAGTCTGCTTGCCAGGGAGGCTGATGGCGAGCTGTTAATCATGTCGCAGACGATGACTTTGAGGATCGCCGCCCGCAGCGGCGCCGCTACGAGGAACCACTCGCTACCACCCTTCGCAAGCAAGTTCTGTCGATCGCAGAGAGTGTAAGATGGGCGAGATCCTCTTTGGCCCAGCTTCGCGGCTAATTCACTCATAGCCAATTCGACGGCCCGAAGAAGACGTCGCAACCATCGCAAAGACGTTGGCGGATAACTACTTTGACACCGATGTCACCTCGGGCTTCCTGGATTTGGCCGTGCAGCTGTAAGAGTCGCTCAAGTGGCCTCACATGTGCCTGGATCTGACCGATGATAGTACTATCGAACAACCGCTCAAGATTCCGTTCGTTGCCGGCATCATCTTGCTTGCAAATGCCCTGAAACCAGAATTTACACCGGAGGTCCTCGCCCGAATCGGAGGAGCGCTGCAAAAATACCTGAACTTAGGGCAATGGCGCGAAGTCAAGCTCTACCTGCGCCTTTTGGGCTGCCTGCAGGGCATGTTCCACGGAGATGGTGTCTTTCCCGTTCTTGACGAGCTCTTCTCGCGTGCGGCCGACCTACAGATGAAGTCGTCTGAAGACGTACGTTGTGCTCGATGATTCACCGCGGAATTCTTGTCTAACTCTGGCGCAGTCCCTTGGCCTTGAGCTGGTCAAAATCATCCTGTTGACCATTCCGTATACCATGGCGTCCTCAGCAACAGGATTCGAAAGCCAGGCCTCCGCTCTCCTCGAGAAGACGGATATTATTGCCTCGACCGCCCACCCACTCGAGGCACTGGTCGATCCCTTCCCGAGCCCCGAACCTGGGGCACCTGCCGGCTCGGAGAGCGCCCTCGCTCTACTGCAGAGACACATGCAAGAGGAGGCCCAAAATTCATGGGAATTGGCCTGCCTACCGCGCCCTTGGAAGAAGAACCGATCTGGCGAGGAGGAAGATCCCCTGGAGGCAGCGCAAAAACAGCCGTTCCCTCAGATCACGGTTCCGGAGACGGTACAGATTGGCCCTCGATCCCTGTTCCCCGAAACATACTCTTCTGTGTACGCCGAACAAGACATTGAGACGGTCCCTGCGTCCTCGGATCCAGCTGCATTGCTCATCCGAGATGCATTGGCCGACACCATCAATGTCCTCCACTTCAATCGAGCAGTCGCTGCCAAGTTTCTGATCGATGTGGACTGTTACTTTGCCCCGGATACCTTCGTGAAGCGAGCAACTCCTTTCGACAAGCTTCGGGAGGTTGCTGGGGACAAAGCTACCTGGAAACCCGAGGACGTCATCGTCGATGCTGCCTTTGCTCAACTACTGAAACTACCTGCTCCCGAACACAAGCTGGTCTACTATCACGCCGTACTGACTGAAGCTTGCAAGCTTGCTCCTGCTGCAGTTGCGCCTAGCTTGGGTCGAGCAATTCGCTACCTGTACCGTAACTTGGACAGGATGGACATGGAGCTTTCGCAACGCTTTTTGGACTGGTTTGCCCACCACCTGAGCAACTTCGGCTTTACCTGGAAGTGGACTGAATGGTAAGTTGACTAACTCTACTCTTTGCTTGACCTACTACTGACATGGCAGGGTTGATGACGTGGCCCTACCGGACGTCCACCCCAAAAAGGCCTTCATGATCGATGCTCTAGAGAAGGAAATCAGACTGAGCTTCTCAAAGAGGATCAAGGGCACTCTCCCGGAACCGTATCAAGCGCTCATCTCAGAAGCCAAAGAGAAAGACACGCCTGACTTCAAATACCACGAAGAGTCGACGCCGTTTTCAGCCGAAGCACAGGAAATTGCACAGCTGATCCGGCGGAAAGCAACACACGACGAATTTACCCCGATCCTGCAGAAGATTGAGCAAGATGCTGCAAGTCAAGGGCTCCCAGACCCCGCTCTCGCCTCAGTCGACGCGTTCATGACTTCGATCTGCTGGGTTGGATCGAAATCACTGTCCCATGCTCTTGCTTGTACCGAACGCTGTAAGGACCGGCTTCTGGCATTCAGCGCGTCGAGCTCGGCGTGCAGAAAACAAATCATCACCTCGGTCATGGACTACTGGCGCGATCAGCGTGGCGTCGGCGTCATCTTGATCGACAAACTCCTCAACTACCAGATCCTGACACCGCCGAGTGTGATTGAGTGGGCATTGATTGACCATGTCGATCGCGGTAGGCTCCTTGCGACGACATGGTGTTATGAACTCGTCAACAATACGACTGGCAAAGTTGCAGGTCGGGTGCGAAGTCTCGTCGCTGCAATCCGCACTCCAGGGCTCACTGAGGAGCAAAAGAACGAACTGCAATCGACACTGACTACCGAGCTGGAGGGCATGAAATCTCTCTTCGCGACCATCGAAGACGCGGTTGGAAGTATTCGCGATGGCAACCAAGATGGGATGATCGAAAGCTCTGACGCTCTACGCGCGGAGGATGAAGCTCTTCTGAGAAATTGGGGTGGACGGTGGGCGAGGGTGTTTCAGCGCAAGGGCGCGGTAGAGGAGAGCTGGGTGAGGGAGGAGTTGGCGAGGCCGATTCCCGAGCCAGAGGTCAAGGAGGAGATGATGAAGGATGAACATGCCAACGTCAATGAAGGGCGAGGAGAGATCAACGGCGGGACAGCGGTGCATGGAGAGGATCGAGATGGACTGGACGGGATTGAATAGAGTTGGGCTGAGTGGGAGGAAGATGGTGCAACCACCAGATTGCCATATTGTACATCACATCCACGAGAATTGCTCCTTGACCGGAATTTGTGGCCAGTTTGTTTCCGCCAATGTAATCTGCCAATTTGCTGCGACAAGAAGTCCTCAAGGTATAGGGGGAAAACACATCCGAGTGGCCGTTACTTCAGTGTTGATGCCTTGGTCTATTGTATATCCCGACATGTCGCTTTACGGGGGGGGAAATCAACACTTATGCAACACACCATCACGACCGGAAAGGGAGTCCAAGGTGATGCCGCCCGGCGGTTGACGTCCAATGACCAACAGACACACTTCCCAGCAGACAAACGTTTATGAAGGTCGAGTCCATGCAAGAAAAGTTTCCTCGGCGACATGCTACAGAAGTGGTGGGCACACTGCCCCGGGAATGAACTAGCTAGCCAGCCAGCCAGATTGATCTCCCCCTTCATAGTCGGTGTGGGACTGATATCGTGGCAGGGGAACGCTGGTGATGATGATGATGATGATGATGATGATGATGATGATGATGATGATGATGATGATGGATAGGAAGGGGACCCCTCAGTTGAGACGGGAATACTGTACTGTACTGGCCTGTCCCGACCGCCTCCAACTCAAACTCATCTTTCGCTTTTCTCGCTTGCGCGTGCGCTTTCTCCCACGGCATCGCCCATTACCGGGGACGCTGTTGGCGAGTTCTGGAGCTTGAGAGCGGTGGCACCTTCACGGCGCAGCGGCGTTTCTTGCGTGCTGTGAGCCGTGCGAGGCATTTTTCAATGTCTGGGGCCGTTGAGGGTGTTTCGTATTTGCGTCTGGGACCCGCGGAACTCTGCTCGTACTTCTTGCTGCAAGTGAGGCTGGTGCGGTGCGGAGCGGACGCCTCTTTGCTGCAATTGTTCCTCTATTAAAATGCTTTCGTGTGGCAGCCAACGTTCTTTCCCTTCACTTCTTATTCTCCGCCCTCCTGGCTTCTTCTGCGCGAGTCGTGCTGTGGGTGGGTGGGTGTTTACGGCACGTGTAATGTGGTGGAGATGCGGTTAGCAATCGAGGAAGGCGCTTCTGCCGAACCGCCTCCTCTCCCTTGCCCTCGTTCTTGTCGTCATATTCGCGGCCCGCTCATGCAGCGCTTCCCTTGGTGTAGAAATTCGCCTGATGGTGGATAATCTGCCGCCGGCACGGGAGGCTACGATATCCACCGGGCTGTGGCTCACTGTTTGCTGGAAGCTCGTGCAACTTCTTGATCGGCTGCTTGAGCAGATGTGGACATTGAATACTGGTATTGTGAGAGAGAAGATGAGATGGTGACGGGAAAGCCTAGACTTGTTTCGCTGATCTTTGGTGACCAAGCGCACAGTTGATAGGGGGGGGAAACGAAAGGCGCGGGCGGCCGCGAAGTCTAATTATGGCTGTCTGCTGAGTCTCCCCCTTCCATGGCCGCTTGGCTGGCAGTCGGGCTTCCACATTGCTCTATGGTACGGTGACAGATCGGTAGGCCGTGGAACGGATAGACGGTTGTGCGCAGCCACGGAAGCGCAGAGAGGGGAATCCCATAATAATCAGGACAGCCGACCCAGTCAATCGAGGCTGTAGCCTCTGGGCCTATGCTGGCAGCTTAGTCACTCATGGGTCTTCCGGTTTGTCCTTTGAAAGGCGGCCAGAATAATCTTCCGTAGGCAGTCCATCTCGGTTTGTCGACTATTTACGGATCCCGTACCCAGAGAACCCGCCAGGGGGCACAACCGGCGCCGACGGTATGGTACCAGCCTGTGGGCCACCGAACCCTGGAGGAGAGGCAAACCCAGCTGGCAAAACATTTGGTTGTGGAAACCCTGCAGGTACTTGATTGAATCCTGGTGGCATGAAGCCTTGCGGTCCGCCATAACCAGCCTGGCTTGGAGGTGGTCTGGCCGGAAGACCACTTGGTGGAGCTGCTAGTGGTACGCTGGGTGGCGGGGGTGGTCTTGCTTGCGCGGGAGGAGGCACAGCTTGATAATTTCCATTTGGAGGACCGAAACCAGCAGGAGGTACAGGAGTTTGGGGCATGCCACCAAACACAGGCCCACCCATAGGAATTGTAGCAGGCGTCGGTTGAACTCCATGAGCCTTTGCCTGAGCAGCAAGCATCCTCTCGGCCTGGTCGCCGTGTCGTTCGCCTTTGCCATCCTTCTTGTAGGCGTACTGCACAGAAACCTCCTTGTTCATAAGGTACTGGCCGTTCATGTTGGCAATAGCATCGTCTGAAGACTCGAAGTTTGCAAAAGAGACAAAACCATAGCCTTTGGACAGGTTGTTCTCATCACGCGCGATCTGAACCATATTAGCACATTTCCGCGAAGACATTCGGAGAAACAACATACCTTCGGGGCAGCTACCAGAGTGCCAAATCGGCCAAAGGTGTCGTACAGCATCCTCTCATCAACCATAGGATCCAAGTTGCCAACAAACAACTCTGCACCAACCTCGACCGACTTTTGTTTGTCGGCACTTGCTTTGTTGACTCGGATAGGTTTGCCGTACAGTCTCACTTGATTCATGATTCGCGCGGCGTATTCTGCATCTTCTTCTGAATTAAACTCGACAAAGCCATAGCCTTGATGCGACTGGGTGACTCTGTCCTTGGGCAAATGGACATTAGCAATGCGCCCAGCTTGCAGAAAGAGTTCCCAGACTAGAGCATCAGTGACGCGTTCGTCGAGGTTCCCGATATAGATTGTCGAATCCTTGTCCTGTTCCCAATGCCTTGCACCGGACATGATGTCGACAGCTTCTCACAGAGCAGCCCAGAGGGGTATAGTAGCGTAGGGGCAGTTACAGTCGCACAGAAAGCGAGTGTTGAGTGACAGAGATCAAGCATGGAAGCAAGAGAAGAAGATGGCAGAGAAGGAACGAAGCCTTTCGAGGCCGTGGCGGAAGAGGCTGGCGCTTTTCTCGTTGGGGGCTAGTCTGCTTTTGAGGAATCACGTGTTGCCGCGATCATCATGAATTTGTTCCGCAGCTTCATTTTGTCCGCATAACCACATCTGATCCTGTGCAACTAGCATTACGATCCGCGACCACAGCTCTGTCGACATAGACATACAGCAGGCCGCTGACTCCCAACAAGATGATCCAATTTTCAGAGGAGACCAAGGTACGCCTGTGGAGCGTCTCCAGGAGCATCCGTTGACATATTTCCCTAGGAGCGCATCGGGAAGATTCTCGACATCACCCGCGAAGTGGTTCATTATGGCTATCTCCCATTGATACTATATCTGGGTATGCGCCCATCTCGCCATTTCGAGTCGCTTAAGCTTACATGCACAGGATACACGAGAAGCGAACCAAAGCCCGCACTGATCAGGTACTGCTCTACAACCAGCTGGGTCCAATCCACCACTGACGTTGATGCCAGCTTAATATCACCCTTTGCGAATTAACCGCACTCGAGACACCGTTTGTACAATAGAGTTTTCGACTTCACGCACCAGCCAGGGAAGCACACACCATGCATGCGGCGTAGGGAGAAGGGGGGGGAAATGGTGACACCACTAGCTCAGTAGAGCGAAGGAGACACGCTCGAAACGAAGCAGGAGTGCCTCTCCGCCGAAGGCATTGGACATTGAGAGGGTGACTTGCGGAAGCATGTACGGAATGAGTTCAGTCTTCCTCAAGCGTCAACAATACACTCCGACAATAGTTTGTACAACATTGCTGCAGAGCTTTGGCGCATATATCGCATTCTCTTCTCTAGAACCCGGAAAACAATGTGACAGGTTTGGTATGACAAGCATTCAACTCAACCACCGACAGTCATATGAACCTCCCACCACCACGTGTCCGGTTCCCTTGGAGCAAATGCCGCATCGACACACGTAACCATTTGTAGCCGCTACCGCCGTTGATGACTGAGACAACCTCTCTTGCATGACTGGCCAGAGTTTCCTGCTTCCCGTTTCCGTGTGGCTTCTCATCAGCAAGCGATGGTTTCGCTACATCCCAGACTGTCCACGAAAAATGCCAGCGAGGGTCCGAGGGAAAGAGTATTTTATCCCACCCAGCAGGCTGAGGACCTTCTGAACGAGAAAACCTTACTGCAAACCGTCCACAGCAGTCGCTTAGCGGTCTACATTTCTCACGCTAAGAGCAACTTGCCTCGAACTATCAAATGTCACAATCTGTGGCCGTGTGCATCTATTGTGCCGCCACGGGGCGCATGGCGTCGTCAAGGCCATGGTGTATTGGTGGATGGCGTCGCCCATGAGCAGAGGCCCAGCTGTCGCAGCACAGGGCAGCCCGGCATAGGGCAGTTGCCCGCCAATCGTGCAGAAGTGGAGCTTTGTGGGCGTGCGTGAAGGCATTCCCCTTGCCGCTTAGCGTACCCAGTAAGCTTGCTTGGTGCCCCATGCTCCCGCTTAGTTTGGGGGCCACCTTTTGGGTGCTCGGCTGGAGTGCGTGCCGTGATCTATCTGCATCTGCCATCCGGGGCTTGCGCATCATGGTCCTGCGGCAGGCGGAGACGATACGAAGCCTGGAAGACGGGACTCCAACGCCAGGGCCGCCCTATCCCACCTGGTCGCTGGGTGATGCCCCCCCTTTCATCGCCCGCATTCTGCTTCCTCTGCTCAGCTTTACACTTGCAACCTCACCGTCTTGTCATACATTACTCTCTCCCTTGCTCTTAGTGCTCTCCCCTTTCCTAGGACTATGCCCGCCACAGAGATAGTCTTCTGCTGAGGCCCTTCCATCGCCCACATCGGCTGGCACGCTGTCATTATTGTTCTACCTCGCAGCTGTCGGGTGCATTGGTTGCCCGTGAGCGTTCGCTGAGCAGCTTATCCGCAATTTTTCACCCCTACCACTAGCGCGTCTTTCCGTTCTTATTGACGCGAAGAACAGGTACCTGCGCCTGCCTCAGCGTCCAACTCTCTTTGCTCTTCTACACTTTCTCACCCACCTGCTGTGCAGTGCACATCCGTCAACCACTGCACAGCCTTCTACCCTCGTCATTGTCTTGGGGAGCATCACTCTCATCATGTTCAATGCTACCCAACACCGCGGTAACCCCAACTTGGGGCCCGCGCCTCCTGGTCAGCCGAATCACCGCCTGAACGAGATCATGGAGTCCCTTCGAGCCGAGTTCGACAACCAGAGCCGGGCGTCAGAACAGGTCGAAAGCCAGGTCGCACAGCAGATCCAAGAGATGGAGCTCATCCGTAACAAAGTCTACCAGCTGGAGCAGAACCAGCTCAAGATGAAGCAGGACTATGAGGCTGAGATCCGCATGCTGCGACACGAACTGGAGATGCGCGGAGGCCCGCAAGTGCAATCTCATCTTGGTGGCCCGCCTCAGCATTCCGGTCCTGCCCAGCCTCCTCCCGCTCTCGGACACGGTCAGGGAGGTTTGTTCAGTGGCATCATGGCGAACCAAGGCCAAGGGGGTCCAGGGCTACCTCCTCAGCCGGATCAGCCTCCTCCACAACAGCATCCTTTGCAGCCGCCTCCCCCGGCCGGACAGCCGCAAGGCCCACCGCAGCCACCGAATTCCTTTCCCGGCTATCAACAGGGACCTCCATTGAACGGTTACGGGCCGCAGTCACAGCCTCCCACCAATTCACCAGGTCTGGGGAAGAACCGATCAATGGGCACGCGAGGTGGCCCTGGGCCTGGGCCTGCGACACCTCAACAACATCCCAACCAACCACAACCGATGCCATATCAGAATGATCCACGCGCGTCGCCTCAGATTCCACGCCCCACTCCCCCCGGCAGTGAAATGCAGCATGCGCCGCGTCACCAAATGCCTAATCAGAGTCAATATCCCAACGTGGGCAACGTTCTCGCCGACCTCAACCCAGACGACCTGCCAGATCACCTAAAGCGCATGTCGGCGGACGGCGAGTGGCATGCCGTCTTTAACCCGAATGTCCCCCGTTCTCTGGATATCCAGCTGTTGCACAATCTTCAACATTCCTCGGTCGTGTGCTGTGTCCGCTTCTCCAACGATGGCAAGTATATTGCCACTGGGTGCAACCGTAGCGCTCAAATCTTTGATGCTCGTGATGGCGCAAAGGTCTGTGAACTGCTCGATGAAACCGTCCAAGACAAGGATGGCGATTTGTATATCCGATCCGTCTGCTTTTCCCCGGATGGCAAACTGTTGGCCACTGGTGCGGAAGACAAGCGAATTCGCGTGTGGGATATCGCGAACAAGCGCATTCGCACCACATTCGACGGTCACGAACAAGACATTTACTCGTTGGATTTCTCACGAACTGGACGCTTGATTGCGTCTGGCTCCGGCGACAAGACAGTGCGCCTCTGGGACATTGAGTCAAATCAGCAGGTTATGGTACTCTCGATAGAGGACGGCGTGACCACTGTGGCCATGTCTCCGGACGGCCGCTTCGTCGCTGCTGGGTCCCTGGACAAGAGTGTCCGAGTTTGGGACTGCTCCAGCGGATACTTGATTGAGCGACTGGAAGGGCCACAAGGCCACAAAGACAGCGTCTACTCTGTGGCATTCTCTCCCAGCGGGCGGGAGCTCGTCAGCGGCAGTTTGGATAAGACGATCAAGATGTGGGAACTGACGCCACAGAGAGGTCTCATCCCAGCATCTGCCACGAAAGACGGCAAATGCATTCGCACCTTTGAGGGACACAAGGTAAGCCCGCCCATCATGACTCTACATGTTCAATCGGGAAATAATCTAATCAAAATGCATCCAGGATTACGTTCTCTCCGTCTGCCTCACTCCTGGCGGCGAATGGGTCATGTCGGGCTCGAAGGACCGTGGAGTCCAGTTCTGGGACCCCCAGACTGGTAATGCTCAGATGATGCTCCAAGGACACAAGAATTCGGTCATCTCGGTCGCCCCTTGCCCCACAGGACACCTGTTCGCCACGGGCTCGGGAGACATGAAGGCTCGGATCTGGCAGTATACCACCTATCGGGCCGTGCACCAAGGTCTGTAGGAACCGCATCGTCGGGTGACTGTCGCCATACCGTGGCAGACGACCTTCTCTAGCATCGGAACACACGGCGTGCGCCAGGGCAATAGATCGAGTATGCGGGTTACTGGCAGTGATCCCTCCTGCTCTGCATGGCTAACAATGGATTTTGGGGCTGCACCGGCTGGACGACATGTTGGAATAACACCAAGTATCAAGGTTGGGATTAGGGGGCTGCTCGGAGTGCGGCATATTTGTGTCAGTGGATCTCTATCTGGATCGCTCGGTGTGGTGTCCTGCATGGTTCGAGGTCATACAGGAGGAACAGGCGATTTGGGATGGGATTGGAATTGTTGTCAACAACAGCTTTCTCTGGGACTTGTACCAGCCCTGCTGCTTGTTCCGCTTCGCGTCGCATAGAGACATGAGGCGGCGATATACAGAAATTAGTCGGGGGTATACGCTCGTTACCGCTGAAGTAAAGGGGCAAGCATTGCAATCCATTTTGCCATAGTGCCACGTTCAATTGACTTGACCAGTGAGTTCGGATCCAAAGGAAATGAGTCAGTCAGATATCATCAAGCACGATGATCAGCTCAGACTGCAACTTGACGGCCACGGCGCCAAAAGTCCGCAATCATTGAAACCTCCAGATGATCTTCAGTAGCATGTTCTGTTAATGTAGCAATGGAAAAAGGGTGATCTACAAAGATACTACAGTTGTTCGATATTTTCATCTACGGTTGAAGTAGTGTAACGCGGTGTACGCGGTGGCGGTCCTCAAAGGCACCGCTCACCTGACCCTCACCTCGCCCTCACCTCGCTTTCACCCTGTCCTAATTCTGCCCTCACTTCGCCCTCGTCCTGTCCTAATCCTGCCCTCGCCTAACCCTCTTTTGGAGAGTATCGGAGGATCCCGAACACGGGCGCAGCCGTGAGCCCCCCATTCGATCGTGCGATGCGATGCGCTGTTTTCCCCTCACTTTCGTCTTCGCTGCACAGCAATGTGACGGTGCGATCAGAAGCAGCGAGGACGCTGCTACACAGTACATCCCGCTGCCCCTTGAGCACCGCGTCGCCGACCCTACAGCAGTGACCTTGACCCCATATTGTGTGTGTTGCTCATCCGTCCCCACCATGGTAACCGTTCGAGTCGGACCCCAACCCGTCCAGGGCGCGAAGGACCGGCTAGCAGCGCGCTCAGAGCCAGATCAGCCTCAAACGAGCCTAAGGTCGGCGACTAGCAAGTCATCACTGTCTTTATCGGGCCCAGATGGGGTTGTATCCTTCACTGAACTATTTGCGTAACGCCGATGTCTGGTCTGATGAGGTCTCCTACATTATTGGTCTCGTTGTAGCCTGGCCCTGGCAATCTGAGGAGACAGCGTGGGATGGCTCGCCGAGGGAGAGTACTCCCCGTGGGCTGCTCTTCTGCACCGTATCTCTCGCTCTCCTCGTCATGTGCCGGCCACGGATGAGCGCACCCTGACCGGGTGGACCCTGAAGAGCCGTCCGTCCTGTTTACCCCATGGACAATTCCAGCTCAGAGCAGTGCCCTGGCCTGCTGGGAGTGAAAAATTTTCCTTCGTCGAGGATTGTGTCAAGGCTGCAGACTGCGCCAAACGATTCAATCATACGTCTGGCAGCTCCTGCAAGATAGCAGCTTGGTACCTGGATGGGCATCGCTCCCCTTGCTGGACAACGACGGCACGAATCTTGTTCCTGGCCGGCCCCCGTCTAGTCTCTTATTCCCACTTCCTGTTTCTCCCAAGTCTCCCACGGCTCCCGAACATCTAAGCCTCATCCACACATCCAGCCAGGTCAGCTTCTAGCTGACCTTCTAGAAGGCGCGGAAGGAACGAATGCGCAGATGCATGATCCTAGGACCGAGCCATTGGACGAGGGTGGACCGACCACACATCAGTGGGAAGGCTCGCTTAGCCCACCGTGGCCCCTGTCGACGCCACAAGCCGTAAGGCAAGGACTCTCCTATCTAGGCATGGCGTGGACAACCCCCGGCTGTCGACCGGCCAATGCGCAAAACCGTTCCCAGCTCCACCGACGTTATCATCCGAGCTTTATGCAACTCTTGCGTCTGCATCACCACGGAAGAACCGCTCGAGGTAGCGACCGGTGGCCCCAAGTCTTCTCCTCATCAAAGATTCCTCTCCTGTTTCTTGAGGCCTTTAGCTGCGTCCCGATTCACACGGTCGCTGTGCGCTGCTCATTCGCCCTGGCTGACATGCTCATCCCGACCCACTGTGAGGGTCACGACACCACCACTCCACGCTCTGCCCTGACACCCTTCTCAGGCTAAGTTTCTTTGCCCATCCCTACCTCATGCATCTCTCACGGCTACCTTGCATCTGCTCTTACCGAAATTCCGGTCACAGGAGGGTGTCTGACTGGCCGCGAAAGCCGGACGCCTCTGCCCCCACCATCCAGTGAGAGGGACTCGGATCTCGAAAAATTTTCACCTCGTCATCTGGGATTCCTCAAACGGAAACCCCAGGCGCTTCGAGGCTTTGCGCCGGCCAAGACACGCCTATGAGGCAAGGCTGCATCTTTCGATACCCTAGCCTCGAAGGCACGCCATATCCGTTGCGATGGAGTCTGCAATCTCTTCAGCCTGCATCATGATCCCTGAACGGCGTGCTAGCAGCTTGACCCGTCTGGCTATACCCACGCCCGCTCACTGGCTGTATCAACACCATGGGCCATCCTCACACGAGAAGGTATAATACTAAGATGCGTCTCATCATCCCGACTGCACTCTGTCCTTCCAGCTGTAGACCACTCTAGACTGGCTTACCTCTCCACGGCCTAGGCCTGTTACTTTCTCAAGCGCTGCTTCGCGTCCCATCATCAATCTGTCCTAGCTATCCTCGGCGAGTTCTCCAACCATCTCAGCCACTCGCGAATCGAAACCCCCACACAGCGAGCTGCCCTATCCGCCCTGTCTTGTCGGACCCTCACTCCTCGTTGGTCATGTAGTTGTCTCGTTAGGCTTCTGTTTATAGTGTTGCTTCATACCTTCGATCCGTCTCGAAAGTCGCACCCGAGCCACATTTCTACGTCTTTGGGAGAGCTGTCCATTGCCCCTTGAGTGTGGTGGGATATCGGAGGAGCCAAGGCGGTCCTGCTGTGCGCCCAGTTGAGATCGGAGCCAGTGCTCAACATGGCCTTCAACCCAACGGCAGATCAGATCGAGTGGCATATGCACCAGCTGAGGCAGTGGATGGTACCGACCTCCATGCCAGCTCCTTCCAAGTCTGCAGTGACCTCCCAAGGTCAAACATTCCCCCAGGAATTCTACCTCCAGAACGTGCCTTCTCACGACATGTACGGGTATGATGCCTTCAGCACGTCCGTCCCTACGCCAACGACTCTTCACCGTGCCCAAACTCTCACGAGTTTGTCCGAGTATGATTATTCTCCCACGGACTACTACAATCCCGGTCAAGCCCCTGCCACCCCCGTGAGCTGGGCAGGAGAGGACAGAGGCAACTTTGACGACGTCCTTTCGATCTATTCCGAAGCCCCGTCGAGCTATCTGTCGTCTGATTTCTCAGAGCAGACTCGGTTTGAGTCCATCATGTCCTCGAGCCACCCCACGCCTCCCGTCCTTCCCCAGCATTCGCCCGCGCCCGAAGCCGCGTCCGAAGTCGACTCGCTCATGAGGAACCTACAGCCGCCCCAGATGCATCTACCAGCGACCACGAACAATCCCGCCGGCAAGCCCAAGAAGCACCTGTGCCCGTATCCCGAGTGTTTCAAGTCGTTTTCCCAGCCGACCCACCTCAAGATCCATCTCCGTTCCCACACGGGAGAGAAGCCATACACCTGTTCGGTGCCCTCCTGCAGGCAAGCGTTTTCACAACTAGGCAACCTTCGGACTCACGAACGACGACATATCGGCCAACGCCCTAACCGCAAAAGATCTTCATCCGACCCAGGCACTCGAGGGCGAAAATATGAGTGCAAGCTCGATGGCTGCCGGGCTCTGGAGAACGGCCAGGGTGGGAAGGTTTTCACTCAGCTGGGGAATCTCAAAGCACACATGAACAAATTCCACAAGGAGACCTTGGCAAGGCTCTCGGTGCAGTTTGCGCAGGATGCAGTGCTGCCTGAAGAAGCCGAGCTCCGGGCCTATTTCCAGGATCTCTACAAGCATAGCAACAAGGGCATCAAAGGACGAGGCAAAGGACGGAAGGTTGAGGTGATTATTACACCAGATCAACCTTGAACTACTCGCCCGAAGACCTTTGGAAAGAGAACTTGTGACACTACCGGGCTTGCTGGAGCGGAGTCGATACCGTGTGCCGTAAATCCAGCGAGCCCGCCCATGTCTTCAGACGCACTATCAGCGAGCCTCATCCGAACGAGAGTCTTCGACCAGTCCCTACCGATCTCCAAGCACACCACATCGTCGCGACACGTCCACCCTTGCAATGCGTCGACGCTTGTCCCAGCTGACTACAGACCGGTCGTTCTCCACAATACGTTCCAATCTTCCGACTTTTGGATTTTAGCGGGAGTTCTCAAGGCCTCACCTGAGAAGAGGAGGAGGAGGAGGAGGAGGAGGATGTATGAGTACCGTCAAGGACACGACCGGGAAGGAAAACCAGGCGCAAGAGCAATGGCACAAATTGTCGTCCACGCGAACAAAGCAAAACAAAGCGACGGTAGGAAGCGAGTGTATTGATATGTACCGCTTTGTTTGTGCGATTTGCGCCGCATCGCGATCTCTTTTATTTTTTTCTTTCCTTTTCGTCCATTATATAGCGTGCTCACCACAAGCCTCTGCAAGAGCATTGTCTTGTTTTGTCTTGTCTTGCTATCGGGCGGCCTGTCATTACCGAGATATCCAACAACAACCACATCAACAACCGGTTCACGAGCTCACGAAGATATGAAACAACCAGAGGAGGATCAAAGGAGGCACAAGTTAGGAGATGCTAAATCCTACCGAGAATGAAAAAAAATGATTAACCCTCAATCTTTCGCCCGTTTTCTGGCACCCT